AGAACCGTAACATTCGAGTCTGAACTGTAGTAAGCCCAAATGAACAAAACGGGATCCCCCCGGGACGTTCGGACGCGTCTACAAGCGGTTATTAATCTTTACAAAGCTTAACTAGACCAAGGAGGAGAGGTCGGCGAAGTCGTCTCTAACCCCCCTTTGCAGTAGCCTCCAGGTCGACCACGATAGTCATTTCTTTGTCCCCTGCCTCATTTAGTCCAGACTTCGATTGACCGTTTCTTTTCTCGGCCTCTTCTTCGGTCCTCTCGCTACCCCCCTTATCGACCTCTTCTTGTAATGAGTTGAAGACCTTATTGGCATAGTGCACCATGTAGCTTGGTAGAAAAGCGAGGGGAGGAGAGGCAAACACCTCGATTTCAAAGCCGTGACCGAGCTTTTCGTAGGTCACCTTCTAACCAGACTTGAAGAAAATGTCCTTGGTAGCTCCTACCTGTTTGGTATAATTGTCCTCGGCCTCCTTGAAACCGAGACCGTTGGCTTCATCCACATCTTTCTGCCTAGCCTTCTTCAGTTCTCTAAGCTCGGTGTACATAGCATCTTTTTCCTGCTCGGCGGTACCAAGTTGGCCCAGCAACCTTGCATTGTCTACGTTGGCCACCTCCAATGAGGACTTGGACCACCCCAGCTCAATCTTCCAGATGCTTGGCCAGGTTGGTGACATTAGACACCTTCTGCTGGAGTTTGTGAATCGGGTCCATGACAAGGTGTTGTTTCTAGATGGCCTGAACGGTAGCAGAGGAAAATTAGTCCAAATAAGAAAATAACCTCGGTAACACTAAGAAAAATTTGCCAAACTCTTACCCTGGTCATAGACTTGATTGCAGATTTCACTAGGTGGGTGTCGGGCATGTGATCGCTGCCGGTTATGTCGCCTGGCAGAAGCAGCGCCTTTGATAAATCGAAGGCCAGGAGGTACTCTTTGTCCCCCTTGACCAACGCGGTGGCCGGAATATCTTTACCCCGGTGTTTGAACTGCGGTTTCCATGGGGGTGTTGGTTCAAAGCCCTCCGCCGGTTGCTCAGTGCTTCGCTCAGCAACAAGCTTGGCCGTTGGATTGGTAGAGCGGGGCCTCTTTCCAGCTTTACGTATTTCTTTGCTGGTTGGTGCTACGATGGTTGACGGCAAGGCTATCACGTTCCTAGAGGTTTGACCGGTAGTAGGGGCAGGAGGGGGGATATTCGGCTCCTCGGTGGACGTGGCGGCGATGAGATTCTTAATTCGAGTGCGTTTCGCCATTTCTTTTTCCTCGGTTAGCACGTCCGAAAGCGTTGGGTCTAGTGGTGGAGATGGTGCTCACAGGAAGTCGGTAACCCTACATCTGCGGGGGGTCGAGTACCGGTAGCTCGGCACGTAACCGAGAAGGTCATGACAATCTCAGTGATGGTACCGCAGCATTGCTCGGATGACAGCTTCATTCGGGTTGAAGTAGTTCACTTGCAAGGCTTCGATGGCTGCGAGAAGAAAACGATTAATACAGAATAGTAAAGAAAAATAACTTGGCCGGTCAGGGAACACAGCTTACATGTTGAACCAAAGTTCTTACTGCTGTACCAACCGGGCACATCAATTGTCTCGTAGTTACCGGACACCCAGAATAAGTCATCGTCGTGCATGTCTTTATCCAGTGTGCTGGTCACCAACTTCTCTTTGCCCAGTCTGATTTTCAAATATAATTAAATTCGTCGGCCGTGTGGCCGAGGGTATATTGGCATAAAATCTTGGCCATACCTAGGTTCAAGCCAAGCCAGTTATTCAGTTTGGCAACCCCGTTTATTATTCTATAAGTGTTTGTTAAAACTTGCGTTGGTGCTAGCCCGGTATGCCAAAGGAATTCACGTATTAATGGTTGGATCGGGAAGCGAAGACCTTCCTCGACAATTGACAGCATGGTGAAGGGGCATTGATCCAGTCTGCCCAAGAGAGAAATGTCTTCTGCACCGAGCTCGAGGTGAACATCTTTAGGGACACCATACTCGTCTCGAAATGTAGCTAGTGCGCCCGGCATGTTAACGAGGAAGCGGTACCGCCCCATTTGAGGTCGGCTTATTTCTGTACGGTTGTGTGTTGAAGGCAAAGTTTTGAACGATAGTTGCTCGGCCTTTGAGAGCTCTTGTGTTGGTGTGCCTGGTCACCTAGGACTCTGTAGTTAAAAATCAAGTGTAAGTAGAAGCGCGGTCGAGCAGGTAAGCTTGATTGTAGCTCGGTCCTATCAAGCATTCTCGACAGCTCAGCCTATTAATTATCCCGATAGTGTAAGCATGCCAGATGTTAGCCCAGTCACATGACCGGGTATCCGCTGTCCTGATTTACCATCACTCTGCAAACAACGAATTTGCCCGGTTTGCTAGTTTTTTCAGATTAAAAAGTTATTCCGAGCCCAGTCAAACCCAGATCATCTCCTATTCATCGTCTCCTATGATGAACAAGTGGAGATTGGGGACCCTAGGGCCTTAGAACGATGAAAAACCCTAATCCTATTCCCTTTATGGTGTGAAGTGGGAATTTTTGACTCTCTCCAAACGTGAATGTGAGAGTTGGGGTTCGAAGAATTAAATAAATACCAAAAGAAACAAAAAGGGGGATGAGAGAGAGAAAAACTTATGGGTTGATGCACAAATTGATGCCCCCGATCAGTGAGATGCTTTGCAATGACGACGGTGAGCTCAACTTCACCAAGAAAATGCTTGAGAATGGCCGATAACGCAAGGGGCAAGATTTTAGTGTGATTACGCTCTGAATAGCATATGGCGTATACGGTGAATAATGGAGACGAAGGGTTGGCTCAGGTAAGAGGTATATGGAAGAAAATGGGGCGCCAAAAATTTGAATTTGAGGTGATGACGTGTGACGGCTTGGTTGGCTGCGCGAGGCCAATGAGCGAATGACACATGTATGTGATGAGACTGGTGTCAGTACTGAAAAGACAGGCATGAGTCGAAACGTCAACCGAGCAAGTGATGGAGCCGAGCAAGAAAGTTAGCATGGCAAATAAGTTGAGGATGACGACCGAGCAGATTAGTGATCTCGGTAGATTAATGGGCAATTGAGAGGGAGATTTCCTAATTTGGCGTTGGGCCGAGCTAAGTTGGGCCAAGTTGATTCAGGCCGAGCTAAGCTCGTACGTTCATTGCGCGCTCCGGTCGAAATCTCGGTGCGGTCTAGCCTGAGTGACCTTGGACTAATATCTTGGTTGAACATGTGCACTCCGACGTGTTAGGCGGATTAGAACTTCTGAGGATCGGACCAACCGGGTAGGAGAATGGCCAGGACTGAGTCAAAGTAACCGGTCAATTAGAACGGTTGTTTCGGTGAGCCATGATGCCGTGTTAGAAGTAGCCCGGTTGGGGGTTTTATGCAGCACCCCGGCACTGCTGGAAGGAGGTTCCGCGGTTCATATGCTTTAATTCGGTCTGACAGTTTCGTTAGGTGGTGATTAGCTGTTTTAGCGCTGACACGTGGGGAAATGTGAGAAGGGAGCAGGTCTATGCGTCCCGAGAGGAATGGATGCAAAAGCGCACGCAGAAACTATATAAACAAGGCAACGCCTCCATATGTGGAGAGACTGGTGAGAGCTAAAAGACCACTTTGTCTTCTCTTTCTCTAGAAGTGTACTAACTTGCTCATCGGAGGGATTTTCCGGCAACACACCGTCGGGTAGCTCACCATCGTTGTATTCGCAGGTTAATCGGAGTGAAGTAAAGCTTGGACACGGGGAATATAGACAACACCGGATATTTGCTCCCCGTACAGTTACATTTGAGAAAAAAAATACTAAAGAGTTTTTTGTATATTGCATTAGAGTGTGTTATACGTTTGGGAAAAGTTTGAAGTGTTACGTTGTTACATTTGGGAAAAATATATTAAGGAGCTTCTTAGTATGTTACATTGGAGTGTTACGTTCTTATTTGTAATATAAGATTTGTTTCAAAATGAGAGAAAATTCAAAACCTCTATAGTGTAGATTGTCCAAATATGTAATTTTACATTTGGAGAAACTCACTTTTATCTTTCAAAAATTAAACTCAAACATGTAAGTGACTACTCTTTTATGTATTCTTCACTTTAATGAGACTTTTGAATTGATAAGAAAAAATGAAGGACTAAACCGTTCACAAAATCTCATTTTGAGATTTATTAATGTTTCACCTTTAATATTTTTATCTTTTTGAAAAATAATCAAAAATTAACAAATTTAATGCAGAGTTTTGAAATTTTAGCGTAAATTTTATTTTCCTTAATATATATAAATTGATAGATAGATTAGACCATCTCAAATCGTTCACCAAATCCAACATCAAATTCAAATTTGATGAAAAAAAGATACTTTTTGTGTTCCAACAGTTACACCAAAATAATATTAAATTGAGAAAATATCAAATGTTTCACCAAACTGAGGATGGCTTACCCCTTTCACCAATTCACTGTGCATAGTCGTTGAGTTGGACCCATCAGACGCCCGGCCGGATGTCCCATCGGATGACCGCTTTAAAGCAAAGATTTGTGAAAATTTTACACTGGAGTAACATATGAAGTAGCGATGAGAGCTTGCTCATGGAGAAAAAAAGCTTGTCTGATCGATCGACCGGTCGTCCTGCCGAACATCCCTGTCTTTTGATGTATGTTACAGTGCACCCGTTGGAACAACTCATATTAGATTGAGAAAATCGTCATTTTTTACTCAAATTTGATAAAAAAAATACTAAATCGTTGGAGATGCCCTTATATCAAACAACAATGCTACATCCTACTAAAAGTGGTGCTCTAAAGTACCACTAATGAGTTGGCACCCACTTAAAAAAAAAAAAAAAAAAAAAGCACAAAAAAAGTACAAAAACATTGTGGCAGTGGACGGAACCCACTACCACATCATTAATGATAGCACTAATTACTGCTCTCACTCATTTTCTTATATCAAATTATTTTGACAAAAAATCATTAAATAATTAAAAAAAGAAAAGAAAAAACCTATATGCAACAGTGGGTTCTATCTCATTCTGGCTTCACACAAATCACACCCTGCCTTCTCTACTTTGCTCCGTTTCTTCTTCTGATTTTATCTTTCTCGTCGCTACACAATTCCGCCGATGATGATTACGACGGCGACGGTCACCGTGGCGGCGGCGGCAGAAGGTGTTGGTGTCAAATTCCATTCTTTCAAAATCATAAACCCTAATCTCACTCTCCCCAATCGGACCTCCACAACTACTCTCCGTTTTGGCTTTCGCAGATTTTCTTCTTCTTCTTCTTCTTCTTCTTCTTCTTCTTCTTCTTCTCTATCTGTTGTATCTGCTAAAGCTTCTTCTTCAATCGTTCGCGAAGAAGATCCGAAACTTGGTCCCGTTTCGCTCGGACACATCACCCGACCTGATTTTCCTATTCTTCACCAGGTACGTACTTTTGATTTCTGTTTTCTATCTTCCGTTTGGTTGCCCAGAAAATAGGATTCAACCTTCATTTCACTAACTTTGACTTCATTTCGGATTTTTTTTTTCAATTTTGTTTTTCTAATTTTTCTTTGTTTATTTCTTTACTACTATATCTTCTTCTTCTTCTTCTTTTTTATAATTTTTTTTATTGTTTTATTTTAGTTTTCTCTTTTCATTGTTTAGGATAATTTATGTTTAAAATTTTTGTGAAAGTGTGTTCGTACTTGCATAGAGTGATAATCTAAAGGAGTTTAGTGATTTTTATTTTTTTTTGGCTATTAGATTATTCACATACTGAACAAGCAATGATTACACCAATATATAAATTTATTTGTTAATCTTACCCAAAACAAGCTAAATAGCATTGTCATCGCTCCGTTTGGAGTTACCCGGTGAGGATTGCCAAAGCGGGCTGGAAGAGCAGCTTATAAGATTGTTACACCATTGTGGATAAAGTCCCTTGGGTCTTCCATCTAAAGCCCACTTCTCGGACAAGAATTATTCGTCTCATAATGAGTCTTCTTTGAAAAAAATATCACAAATAAGGTAGGAAATAGGAGTGTTGAAACCATCATGTAGCTGGTGGCATGAGAACCTCTCATGGTTGGAAAAAGTCTGAGAATTATTGGTCAATTGGATGGGACTTGGTGATGGTGAAGTTAGTTGGCAATTGGAGGGGGACTTCACAACACTTGGGAAATAGTTGGAGCTCACATGGTCAACAAGTCACGAGGATGTCATCCCTTTTAAGTGGGGAGATTGATAACCTTTTGAGGGTGTACATCTTGTTATAATGTCTTTTTATACACCACTATGTTGCCTAAGGAAAATTGAATTTACCCATGTGCTCGCCTATGTTGCACCCCATGTGGGTCCAAGCAGTGCCCAAGCATTCTCTATGTGCCTAAATATTGTGTTAGAAAATTTTCAAAATTAAATTTTTATTTGATATATTGTGTTATAGTAGGAAGCCCAGGAATCGTCTATACGTTTGTTCCAAATCTGTTAGAAGGTGGAAATGGAATGGGTTAATGAAGACTGACACTCCTCTCAACTGTATAATGTGTGTATCATGTGTATGTAATCGTATGAAACTATGGTTTGATTGGGCAACACTTTTACTGTTTTAGGATTACATTAAGACCTTGATTATGTGGAGTGTCTTGTGGTTCACATGGGTACAATTTGGATGGAGTGTTCTGGACCATAGGATCAGCTTGCAATTCAGCGATTAGAATTGTGTCTATTCAAATAGGTGTGTTTATAATCATTGGTTGTAGAAATACGTCAAACCTATTTGTATAGATACTAAGAATAGACACACCTAATTAAATGAGTGCAACAAGAAATATTATATCATGAAAGGAGGTGTGTAATAATAAAAAGATAAATCATATCATGAAGGGATGCGATCTGGACTATCATTTTTGTATTAAATATAGTTCCAATTGTTAGATAGGTTATGTTGTTACTTCTCAAAAGAAGTTTACATATTGTAATGTGTGATATTGTTTTATAAGTATCAACATGATTTCGCAGGAGGTAAATGGCTCAAAACTTGTCTATCTTGACAATGCTGCAACTTCTCAGAAGCCCACTGCTGTTTTGAAGGCTATACAAAACTATTATGAAACATACAATTCAAATGTGCACCGTGGGATTCATTTCCTGAGGTTTTGAACACTAATTTATATAATAGTTAAAAGCAACAAAGTCTTCATGATTGTTTTTGTTGTAAAATATGCAAAATTATTATGTTATTTTTATTTTTATTTTTATTGTAGTGTGAAAGCAACGGATGAATATGAATTGGCAAGAAAAAAGGTGGCAACTTTCATCAATGCATCTGAGTCTAGAGAGATTGTTTTCACAAAAAATGCTACTGAAGCTATCAACCTAGTAGCTTATTCCTGGGGCCTTTCAAATTTAAAACCAGAAGATGAGGTATGCTCTCTTTTGCTGCATTAGTATTTTTGGCCCAATGTTATAATTTTGAATTCATTGTATGTCATTTTATTTTATTTCAATTTGAACGACTACAAATTTTAATAGCTTTGCTTATTGTTATTGGGTACCATTCGCAGTGCTACGCAATAGTCAAATCCCGTCTCTCCATGTTCAAATCCATACCCATTTGTTACTTTATGGAAACACTAAAATCCTATATATTTTTACCATCTTTATAGCCACGTAAACTATTAATTTCATCCCTAAAACTAGGGCCTTTTGCTGCTGCCATATATTAATTTTGGACTCACTGGTGTTCCCCTCACTTATTCTGCATCACTTAACTAGTTTCTTCCTAAGCTGAATCATGTTTTACAAACACGAATTCATATACCATTTTAGTCCAAATTCTTAATTCTACTTTCTGCTAGTTTTGTAAAATGAACTGGATTGATGAAACTGCATCCACTTTTAAAATCTTCTCAAATAGTTTTTTAATTAGAAACGACAAAAGAATTTGGATGTAGCAATGTCATGGAATCAGGAGGAGTAGAAAGTGATACTTCTTTTTTATGTGAGTAGGAGTTGGAACTTCATATCTCTTGATGAAGGTTTTGCTCATTTCAACTCCACTTCTTTTTGTTCTATATGTAATTTTGTGAGCCCCTTTATTCCAACCTAATTCGAGGGCTTTCATCTTAGACTGGTTAAAAAAACTGCATATCCTGCTCAAAGTATTAGTTATTTATCACAAAAATATCTTGTAGGTTATACTCACAATTGCAGAGCATCACAGTGCTATTGTTCCTTGGCAAGTTGTGGCTCAAAAGACTGGTGCCATTTTAAAGTATGCGGGTTTAACTGGAGATGAAGTTCCAGATACAGCAAAATTAAGGGAGATGATTTCAAGGAAGACAAAAATTGTGGTTGTACATCATGTCTCGAACATGCTAGGTACTTGAAGTCCACAACACTTTTTATTTTTATTTTCTTTTTATTTACTCATAGACTAGTTTATTCAAGGCATGTCAACAGAGGTGGTATCCATATTTGAGCGCGGTGTTTGAAAATCAACCGGCTATGTAGGTCATGGCATGTAAAACACATTCTTATTGCATAAACATAATCTGAGATGAACTAGCTGTTATTTCTGTGGAAGATTTTGCAACATCGGTTTTATATTTTTGAAATCAGTTGAAGATCATCAATTTGTGTGATGTCATAACCACATTTATTAATTCCTTGTTCACTTTGCTGTAGCTTCTGTTCTACCAATTAAGGAGATTGTGGGTTGGGCACATGATGTTGGGGCAAAAGTGCTGGTAGATGCTTGTCAAAGTGTTCCTCACATGGTGGTTGATGTACAGAGCCTCAATGCTGATTTTCTTGTTGCTTCCTCTCACAAGGTTAGTTTATTTTCATTTGGACTAGTATTTAAGACTTTTTAGTGTGTATTTGGAGTTGAGGAATAAACATGCTTCAGATGTGTGGGCCTACAGGCATTGGATTCTTATATGGTAAAAGTGAGCTGTTGTCTGTCATGCCTCCTTTCTTAGGTAAGCCTTTCCCCTTTGAAATTAATGAATTTAGAAGAACAGCTTCTCTTGTGTGAAGTATAACCTGTGCTTGCAAATTCATCAAGTCTATATCTATGAGCATACTGAACTCATCGACACATGAGTTTTCTCTGAAACAGTTTCTTTTGTCTATTTTTTTCCCTCCCCCCAATATTTCTTAAACACAGGTGGCGGCGAAATGATTTCTGATGTATTTTTAGACCATTCCACTTATGCTGAACCTCCATCCAGGTTAGCAGCTTATTTATTGCTTGACTGAAATTTAATCTGGTTAATTGCACATGCAGGGGGGAAATGTAATTATATTTACTGTCCTTCCCTTGCATTAGGTGCAAGTATATTTTGGTGATTATAATATTTGCAAACATTGCTACTTGGATGACCAGCATGACTAGATTGTTTGAACCGGAGAAGTACATATTTCTGAAGAATTGCTATTTCTGAGAAAAATTGATTTCAAAGCAGGTGTGGTTTGCCAATGATTGGAAACAAACTTCAGACTGCAAGGGGAAACACCTATGAATCAGATGGAAAATGGTGGGACTCAGCACCATTGAAACTAGTCAATATCTGGTGGTTATAATATTGGATCAATGTTTAAATAGGGATATATAAAGACACTGAAAAGGACATTAGTCATGAGTTCCCTCCAGGGAAAATTTAGCGATCGACTTGTCCCAAACCTTGATGTTTTCTTCTCTTTTTTTACTGTATTAGATCCTTCTTCGTTTTTGAACTTCATCATGACATTTTCCTTTATGCTAATCATTACATGACACATTTTCATGTGAAGTTTTGCATTTCTTCTTCTGTTGTTTGAAATGGTTGACGTACAGGTCTTAAAAATAGAGCATCCCATGTTATTCCATTTCTATCCCTGCTTTCAATCATTCTGGATTGCTTGAAATTGCTGGTGTAACAATCTTTTTAGTTCCTTCATTCTCTATTTCTATTTGAAATAATTAGTCCTAAGGAAAAGGATTTTGTTTCTTCTACCTAGCTAAAAAAACAATATGTCAATGTCTCTAGTAAACCAAAGTTATCGTTTAATAGCTATTTTGCTTCAATTTCTTCTCTACAAATTAAAAATTGAATATTTAGTTACGATTAGAAATCTAGTTTTCTATCTTCATCCATGCTGGCATACAAATCTTAAATATAGAGCATCCCTTCTTTTTTTTTTTTTCTTGGGTGAATAAAGCATCCCATGTTATATTATTTCTATCCCCGCTTTCAATCATTCCGAGTTGTCAGTATCTTGAATTCAATACCAATTTAATTAATTGGAAGGCCAAGTATTCTGGTTATGCAGTGTATAGGTGTTTGTAAGTTGGTATTTCTTTTAGTTCTTTATTTTTTTGGACGCTTTCCTTCTAGTAATGATCTTATTACTTAAATAAATATGCAAGATGTTGAAGCTTTAGTTTCGTTAAACCCCCACCATTTGATTGGGTCAGATTTGAGGCTGGAACACCTGCAATTGGGGAAGCAATTGGGTTAGGAGCAGCAATAGATTATCTGTCTGGAATTGGCATGCAAATGATTCATGATTATGAGGTTAGTGCAGTTTCCACTGTTTTGCATTCTATTATATAGATCAAGTCCTCTGTTTCAAGCATTGTAAGACATCATTCTAGTTGCCAGTAGGAACAGATATTTGCCCTGTGCTGAAGTGGGAATAAGTTGTAGAATCATTGACCTTCATCGACCTTGTATCTGTATTTCTGAAGTTGTAATGTGATGCAAGCCTTAGTAGTGGAATATTTCTATAAAGTTACTCTTTTTTTTTTTTCCCCCCCCTTCTTTTAAGCTGGGTATGCTACACCTCAAATATATGCACTCCATCCCTGGTTCTTATGTATGTACTCATAACCTGGTTCTTTTTGTTCTGATTTGTTTATCCAGGTAGAGCTGGCAAATTACCTATATGCAAGCCTACGTTCAGTTCCTAATATTCACATATATGGGCCGGTACCTTCCCAAAATGTCCAGCGTGCTGCTCTTTGTTCATTCAACATTGAAGATATTCACCCAACAGATATTGCAACATTTCTGGACCAACAGGTATGTGTAGAACATAAATATGGCCTTCTGCTGTTGTAGTTTTGTGCTTTTTAACTCTTCAAGAGATTGAGAGAGAGAGGGTGGCAGGTGGGGAGGGTGGAGAAGGGTTTAGGTGGCTGCCAGAGGTGGTGGGTGAGAATGGGTGTCCTTGTTAATTTGACTTGGGGTTAATAATGGTATTAAAAAAGTCATCAAATGTGGGGTTTCCAACAATTTTTTTTTGTATGCCTTTAGGGGCTCCTTGTTAAATGTGTTGGTTTCAAGAAAATGAGGGAAAAATCACAAAAAATTATGAAGTTGAATTGGAAAATGATATGTAATTAGTGTAATTTGTTTTCAGCATGGAGTAGCAATAAGATCAGGCCATCACTGTGCACAACCCCTGCATCGTGATTTACGAGTCAATGCGAGTGCACGAGCTAGCCTCCACTTCTACAACACAAAGGAGGATGTTGATGATTTCATCCGAGCACTCATGGACACAGTTAGCTTCTTTTCGTCCTTCAAATAGCCTAAATTCGTCTTTTATTATTTATTTTTTTTCCAGATGTATTGCACAATGGCAGCTGTGTTCTTGTCAGTGACTGATTAATATTGTCAATTGACTTCATCTGAAATTTAATGACCTGACAAGGTTATATGTAAAAAGTGTTTATCTTGGGAGAGAGAAGAAAGTGTAGCAAAATTTAGAAAAGCAGAAGACAGAAATAACCTAAACTTTTGGATTGCTGCAAGTCGACATTTAAATTGTTCTGATCCTATCCAATTTCATTTTTGTTCATTTTCCAAATTCTAAGAAGCTTTAAACCAGCTTTTTGTTTTGGTGCATCTTATCAGTGTTTCCTATATTATTTCAAAAATTGTACCAATTTTTGAAATTTTGTTTTTGATTACACTTCCAAAACAAAAACAAAAATAAGCGAGACAACAATAGTTCAAATAAACAAGTTAATTATCAAAAAACTAAGTCATTTTTTTACCTTTACTTTCTAATAATCAACTTTAAACTTTAGTAAAAAATATATGGGTGAAATTCCTCATTTGTTTAAACATCAGAAAAGTATATGGGTGTGAAATTTCTCATTTGTAAGAAGCCTAGTATATCATCTTTTAGACAAAATGCCTTCCAATCATCTCAAAAAAAAATTGAACATTTCATAAACATCATTTATAGGCCTTTTTTATTTCAACAATATGCATGTATACAAATAATTCAGTCTAGTAAAATATACCACACCAGCACAGCCGGATCATAAGAAATCTCAATCACTAACTTCTAATGTGAGAAGTCCATAATTATGGTGATCACGATTTTTTGTGAGCCTTTTTCCATACCACACCACTTCCAATCTCATTGCTAAAAGAAGACTTAACATTATGCTGTGAAGACAGACAAACACCCTAATCAACCACATATTATCACATAGTTTAAGAAAATCACGTGACCGTGTGCCATCCAATGACATCTCGTCATTTTCCCATAATTTTCTTACCTTTAGGGTCATGTACTTATTAGATTCTCTGCTATTGGTTGTGCACGCGAACGTAAAATTCCCTCCTAATCAACCTCCTAGAGAAATTATAACTACCAATTACGGCAAGGTAAATAACGGACAAAAATGGATGTAAATCTATCCCTCTAAGCAATTAGAATACAGGGGGCAGATTCAACAAGCAACACAATTAATTTCAAAATCTGGGAATATTTCAGAGGGCTAAAAAAGATAAGTGGTCATTGTGGTTGGCATTTCTCTTTCCTCGCCAAGGATTCCCCCTTGTACTCACTGCCAGCACTCACCACAAAACCTGCTCCAACCTGAAAACGAAGCACACAACAAACTATAAGAAACACAACTATGAACACACACATCCCTTGAAACCCGGCAGAGAAAAAGAGTGAGAACCTGACAGTCTTTCAGAACAACACGGTCTTGGAGCTGTACATTACTGCAGATAACAGAGCCTTGGATTGAACAACCATCCCCGATGGAGACATGGTTCATAATTACTGAACTGACAACCTGCAGATACAACGGATAAAAGACTTTGCAATTACCTCCAATTAAAATATTGTCGAGCAATGTCACAACATTTGTAGCTCTTTAATCAGATAGTGGATTAAATGCCTTTGCAATTATATAATTGGTTTTTTATGAAAGATCCATCACACCTTTACATTGGAACCTATCCGGCAGTGACGGCCAATAACAGATCGTTTTACACTGCATTTGTCACCCATTTGTGAACCTTCCCCCAGCATGCATTGTGGTCCCACCTAAAACAATCAAACAGCTTAATAAACAAACCAAGAGAATTACCACATAATTAATAAACCATCATTGAAACCAATCATACCTGCTGCAAAACATTCCTTAGACAACCTACGGCTACCACTATTGATTAAACTGGTAAATCAAATACTCATAACTCGGGATTCTGAAAAAAATGTTACAGAATGTTAACTCACTGTAGTTTTTGACCCAAGCACCGCAGAAGGATGGATGATGTTGTTATGAGCAGAGAACGAATATCCTGACAGGTGACTTGCATCCCCAATAACCTGATACACGTATTAATAACAGTCGGCACCTATTACTAGAATAAATGTGAATTGAAATTAAAAAATAATAATAATCAGAAGTCCCAAAAGCTTTGACTGTTAGAACTCACATCTCGATTTATGTCACTGAAAGCTTGAATGGAATTCAAGCGTGCACAAAACTTGTTCTTGCTGGCAATATAAACACAGCATTTATGGGTTTTTCTTGGAACAGGGGCAGACCCATTAGGACCCACAGCATAGAGTTCGTGGAAACTTGGGGTAGAAGAATTAGTCAGAAGTTGAGACAGGGATACTTTGTTGTCCTGGGAAGCAACTTTGTCATTCCCATTTTCTTCTGATTGCGCCCCATGCAATGATAATTCAGACCTCTGATTTTTCATAGGAAAAGAATTATAAAATAAAGGGGGGGAAAAACCCAAATGAAGATAGTATATGCAAAATTCATGTAAGCATCCTATTCAACTAACCAGCTGGCTCCTGACAAGATAAGGAAGTACATCCTGCCTTAAGCTTTGAAAAGTTTCTTTTTGATCAAGTATTTCTTGCAAAACAGACCTTTTAAAGAAACAAGCAAACTTGAGTAAATAATAGATAGATTTTAGAATGAATGAATTAAAAGATCACTTTGAAGAAAAGAACAAAACCTCAAACCTCTTGAATGCATACAAATGAGCATCCATCAAATCAGCGCGGATTTCCATCTACACAAGCAATGAAAAACAGAGCCCCCAGTAAGAACCAACTACCAAGTCGAAAAGGTCTTAAAAAAGGCAACAAAACAAGGAACAAAGAGTTATTACACATTATTAGATATCATGTGTGCTTCCCCGTGAGCAATAAATCAAACTGGTGACTGAAATTTCTAATCAGTTACGCAGGCCCACAAGAGCAATAGATCAAACTGACAAATGATTTTCTTTTTTCTTTCCTTTTCTTTTCTGGTACAGAATAAAATTATTTTGTATGCCAGCAGAGAAAGATAAGAAATAGCTGTTTTAATGAAGGAGATGAAAATGAGGAGGCAAGAAAATTTAGGGAAAAGAGAAGAATGCACTCAGCATGTGACAACAATTAAATTCTTTTTTTCCTTTTGCTTGGGTACAAAGACAACCAGAGAAGATTAATATGAAGGTTACCCGTAACATCTTTGACTGCAGACATTCCCCCCCCCGGGGAAAAAAAAAAGAAGGTGGCCCCATAAGCATAGACGGCGAGGAATTAATTTAAAAAATAAACAAGTAACAAGGGACAACAACCAATAAATAAATGAAGAAACTCATCTCAGTCATTGCACTAAGCACTGAAGAATATTTTTCTAACAAAGGAGATTTACAGACCTGCCCCACTGCACGGAGAATGCTCTTCTGAACTCTAATATCTTTCTCAACTTCAGCTCCTAGGATTCACATTACATGATACATAAAAGTTTGTTTTTTTATTAAGATCACAATATGGATATATAAATATGTATAGAGATCTAACCAGCTGCTATGAACAAAAGAAATTGTTGTGTGGGATCCAGCCCTATAATATTATCGCGTCCTGGTTTCTTGGCTTTGTCCTTTCCACCAGCAGAACCAGACTCTGATGGTCCACTGACACGAGCAGAGCAAAGCATTGCGGTCACTATGGCATCATGTCGCCTATGAGCAGCAGCCACTGCCCCCGGGGGAACATCACAAACAAGATCACCACTCACAACCTGCAGAAGCATAAAGAATTAATAGCCATAAATTCTAACAGAACCATAATGCCACAAAAGTTGAGAACTCCAACCAAGATATCATGTGCAGTCAGGTGGTGACCAATGGCCCGAAGAGCACCAGCTGTGCCAACATCCTCGGGTACTGCAGCTACCTGCAAATTTTGAAACTTCACTCAAGCTCCATTTTTCAACTGGTGGAAATTTTGAATATAACACAGTTGCTTGCCTAGATTATCCTAATGGCAAGATGCTATACATGCAAGACAATAATTTTCATTATTTTACAAGTGTTGCACAACGGCAAATTCACAGCATATTCTTTACACGTATATATAATAAATAAATAAATAAATAAATAAGAAAAAGAAAAAATAACAGCTCAACTCTCCTCCCTGAATGATAACCTTCCTCTCTGGTCTTGAGCAAAAGATGCCAACAATTATAGATTTAAACCCCCATAATCTGCATGGGTTACAGTAGTCCCACCCCATTCATTTAAAATAAAAATTATTTTAAAAAAAAAACAAAAAATAGCACAAACAATGAAGAGATGATTTTGCAAGAGTATATAGCACGGTACTGAAAGGTGCTAAACCGTTGAATACTTGAGATAATAGAAGCACAAGTACTCTATTGTTCCTTGAGACTAAGGATTTTCATCAGACATTCAGTTCTCCAATTATTTTGTAGAATACCCACACCAATCAAATGTAATAATCAGAATAATTTAGATGCAGTATGATATAAATACATATAAAAAGCTCCCTTATTTAAGCTGTGTGAATGACTATTATCTTGCCCTTCATGATTTTGTGTCTCCAATGCATAACCCAAACTCACGCATACCAATTACTAATTCAATAATTGTCTCATATCACTGAGAACAGTGTTTATTATTGTACTTCAAGAATTTTGTATTTCCTATAAAGGAATGATTTAGCCCCAACCCAAGTACCAAATTGTAATTCAATCAATTCTATCATTAGAAAATTAAGTAGACACTAGGCTGCCAGCCTGCCACTAATTTCAAGCATATTTTCATGTAATTTTCCACACAAAGACAAACTCACAGAAATTTCATCTGAACTATCTTTTGTCCTCTACACAAACCATAAATTCACCAGCATTTTAATCTCAGTCAAAATAATCTGTCCACCTATATGTTAGGGGGCATACGTTAATACCAAATTTATGGGCTACCCTGATCACTGCAGCCCCTTTCAACAAAAAAAATATGAGTGCTGAAATTGTTACGAGAATGCTTTCCAGATATATGAAGAAAATCAATTGACATTTCTTTTCTTTTTGACCAACTACATCACTATAACACGTTTATGTCTTGTGCACCATTGACCACACTGCCTTCTAGCGGCCTTAGGTAGTAAACTTAATTATGCTCATCATGTAAACAAATTACATTTAACAACTCAACTCAACAAATATGTATCCCAATTACTTGAGGCCAGCTACATGGATCCATTTCATCTAGTTGGCTCGCTAGAAATCCATATCCCCAGTTAAGTCCAAGGCATCATATTACATGAATTCTACTTCCCCCATTGTACCCATGTCCACCGGATATGACAAAAGTAAGGGTGTAGGATGTGTCTAACATCCGTACTCATTTAAACAATTGGATCTCTAATTTGTACAATGTTGAATAAGAAAACAATAACATTTGCAATTAAAAAAATATTTCTAGCTTGTCACATGAATGGAAGATGTAAATTCTAAAATTTACTTAAATCTTATTTAATGTGAAATACATTTGTAAATAATTTACAATATCCTATCTAAGAAGATTATACAATATGCAATATGTATGTGTTTAAGACATGTCCCCATCCCCAACTTTTGAATGCATATACCAATACCACAAGATTTAGGTTTAGGAAGCTTTGATGCTTATCCATGCACTTGCACCTGCAAGTCCGTGTATAACATAGTGTACCGCCTAAACCCATTATATCCTTGGTTTTCCTCTCACAACATAACACCTCTCCGACTATCCATGCTATCATGACACTACCCATCATAGCACTCACCCAACACAACACACACAACTGTTAGTGTTAGGACTAACATAAGATTAATTTTTTTTTTTTTTTTTCTTCCTTTGTTGATAAATAGGACTAACATAAGATTATTAATTACCTCAACATGTAGACGATCAACATAAGCACTGGATATCCAACCACCAACTCGAAGAGCAGCATCTTCCCCTTCAACTACCTATGCAGCATGCACCAACAAAATCAACAACCCTAATTTCCATACACGCAAACATAACATTTACAAAAAGAATTGTTTTTATTAATTTGAAATTAGGGCACAATTGATAGAGACGTACAACAATGAGATCCTTGAGATTACTCTGCTCCAAAAGCTCTAGAACATAAGATAGAACAGGGCGATTCGCCACAGGAAGAAGGGCTTTTGGAACCTCCTGCAATTGTTGTTTTGAATTTGATTTTATAAAAATGAAATGAAATTATTATCAGAGAGAGAGAGAGAGAGAGAGAGAGAAATAGGGTTTGGTTTGGGGGAAGAAGAACCTTTGAAACGAGAGGGATGAGTTCCTTTGAAGTGCCTCCGGCTAGTACTACCACCTGAAAATCCATCCTCCCAAACGCTAGAACCCCCAACCTCCACCGCCGCTGCCGCTCCGCCTACCAACGGTGACTGAGAGTGCGTGCTTTAGAGATAGAGAGAGAGAGCTTTCACTTTTCAGGGGATTCTGTCTGTTGCTGTGAATTTAGAAGGAGAGAAGTTAAACCATGGGACAGTTCCAAAAAAACAAAAAAAAAGTTTAACCACGGGGAGAATTAGAGTGTTCTAAAAAAAAATATTTAAAATATTTAAACATACATATAGAAAGTAATAAATAATAATTAATTTTAATTTAAAAAATTTACGTTGTGAGATTCAATAATGTTCAAGATCCCCTTTCTTCCACCCCTTACCCTCTCTCAACATGATTGATCAATTTTTCTTTTTCTTTCTTTAATTTTTCTTTCTCTTCTAATCACCACCCGCTACATGTATATGGAAATGGTGAGAATGGTGAAGAGGGAGGGTCTCAATCATGATAATCTACCAGATTTTTTGGGGGTAGTATGTTTGTATGGCGAAGATTGTTGATCTAACGCCTATTTTGGGCCCAAAAAAAACAAATCATCTCTTTTTTAAAATTTTTTTGTCTTTAATGGCTTTTTAAAAAAAATCATGTCAATTTTTTTTACTTATTCAGTCTGTTATTTAAAGAAAAAAAAAATCAAAAAACAAATTATTAAAGACAAAAAGAAGCTTAAAAAAAAGTAATTTCTAAGTGTGAAATAAATTTGAATCATAGATTGATGTTTCTGAGTAAAATTTAGGAGAATATGTCCGATACCATAGTGTGTGAGTGATTTTCCGATCACACTGTCCAACTCAGTATTCAGCTGGAGAACACTGGCAGAATAGATGACACCTGCCTAACCTGTAACAGAAAGAGAAGATTCTGGCGGTGGTTCGTCCACCCGGAGGCACTCCGACGATCAAGTCAGTATATCTCTCAAAGATAATCAATAGTGCTAATCTCACTAGACAGAATATAAATTGCGTACCTTAGACCCATGGAGGTACCTCCCTTTTATAGCCAACACAATCCTAGTCTCAATAGAAACCTAACTCTAATGGACTTAGGATTACTGCTAACCTTGAACTCCCAGTATGATTAGGATAAACTCTCTAAGAGTCTTATCTTTACTCAAACTGAAGTCCCCTCTCATTTTAGGACTCTTGTTCCTTATTCGCTTATCTCGGATTTCGATATCTTCGGAGATAACCTCGGCTTGACTGAGATCACCTCGGCGTCATGACCTGGACACGTGGCACCTCGACTGACACGTCGGCGTCACCTTGCCACGTGTTGGTATTCAAAAATATGTCCCCACAACTGCCCCCTAGGTTCTATTACCTCGGCAACTTCGGCATTCTGAGGTAATGGAACCTATATCAGTACCTCATGCTAATTCATCGATTTAATCCGAGATCATCATCGTTAGGCCGACATATATTCTTAAAGATCAAGAATTCCAAGAGCTCCTTTACACGTATGAGCTGTCACACATAACAACTCAACCGTTAAGCCACGTGTTTTCTTCTTACTGGATCGTACCCCGGACGCGCTTATAAGTCGTCTTGCGCCTACATATTTGATCAAAATCTCTTCACTCTCTCTGTCTTTTCACTTCTGTATCTTCGTTTTTGTTTAAACTTTCTCTTTTAAATCCTCTATTGCTGCTTTTACGAAGCTTTCTGCAACCAGTTTCACTCTCCCCTTGGGCGAGGCTTCCGCTGCACTTCCTTGCTTACGGCCACCGTCTGATCCCAGCGAACTTTACTTCGGCTTCATTGCTTTACTCGTTCATGTCTTTTGATCATTTAACATGTATCTTGAATTTCACCATGTACTGAACATGTACTGTCTTTGTACCTTGTACTTTTTTGTTACTCAAACAATTTATTCTTCAATGTCAGGCCGAAGTGCCTTCTTTCCTTATCTAAATGCATTTTTTTAACTTCTTCTTTCAAGTGTTTTGAATGTTTGCCCTCTTTTTAATGCCTTGTATGATTCCATACTTAGAATACAATTTTGTATGTTTTCAACATACACTTTAACTGTGCAATCTCCCCAGGTTAACATACCTCAGACAAAACTTCCAACCTTGTTTATCTCGGTCTCGGTTTAACACTTGAAAACATTGTAACAAATATTTTCACAAGTGTTGCTTTTACTTCCTAAGACTTCTGTCTTCCATTATCTTTCAAGTCTTGGTAACATAGTCACCTCGGCACGTGTATAGATACTGCTATAACCTTGGATTTAACTTCAACTTGTAAATTTTCTCAAAATTTCAACAAGTGTTAAATCAATCTTCTTTCTCGGTTTAACTTCAACTTATAAATTCTTTCAGAATTTCAACAAGTGTTAAACATAATCTCGGTTTTAACTTCAACTTGTAAATTCTCTCAGAATTTCAACAAGTGTTAAACATAATCTCGGTTTAACTTCAACTTGTAAACTTTTCTCAAGTTCAACAAGTGTTAAATATAACTTCGGTTTAACTTTAACTTGTAAATTCTCAAGTTTCAACAAGTGTTAAATATAATATTGGTTTAACTTAAACTTGTAAATTCTCTCAGAATTTCAACAAGTGTTAAACATAATCTCAGTTTAACTTAAACTTGTAAATTCTCTCAGAATTTCAACAAGTGTTAAACATAATCTCGGTTTAACTTCAACTTGTAAACTTTTCTCAAGTTTCAACAAGTGTTAAACATGACATCGGCTTGAAAATTCCAACTCCCAAGCATCATTCTCCAGTCCTCTACATAGCTTTCACCTACTCCTTTGTGGAAAAAAGCCTTTAACTCAGGCTGTGTTTTTCTCTTCATCTGGGCGAAGATCTTGCCTTCTAGAATATGGGATCTGCTCACTTTAGACTGAGCTCTTATTTTCTCGAACCTAATCATCTAGGCCGAGATCTTGTCTTCTGGGATTCTCCATGGCCAACCTCCCATGAAGGCCGGTGAGAATGTTCCTTGGTCTCGCCATGCTAAGGGACTGCAGGAATCATTTTCTGCCCTCTTTTCTGGACGTCTTTCTTGGCCGCTAGAATCGGCATATCTTGTAGCGAGAACAGTGGCTGGAGGTCGTCCTCGTTATAATACTCGCTCCGGTCCGATTTTTTCGGTATGCCGCCCTCCTGGCCGACGTCTTTTCCTTCGTGATTCTTATTACGAGTTTCTTCGTTGCAGTTGTCTTCTTCGACATCAAGGTCAATATGTTTTCCATTCTCAGTAGGGGTGTCGTCCCCAACCTTCTCTTTCTGTCCGTCGTTGGCCATCTATTCTCCTTTCTTTCCCACAGACGGCGCCAAATTGTGTGAGTGATTTTCCGATCACACTGCTCAACTCAGTATTCAGCTGGAGAACACTAGCAGAATAGATGACACCTAGCTAACCTGTAACAGAAAGAGAAGATTCCGGCAGTGGTTCGTCCACCCGGAGGCACTCCGACAATCAAGTCAGTATATCTCTCAAAGATAATCAATAGTGCTAATCTCACTAAACAGAATATAAATTGCATACCTTAGACTCATGGGGGTGTCTCCCTTTTATAGCCAACACAATCCTAGTCCCAATAGAAGCCTAGCTCTAATAGACTTAGGATTATTGCTAACCTTGGACTCCTAGTATGATTAGGATAAACTCTCTAAGAGTCTTATCTTTATCCAAACTGAAGTCCCCTCTCATTCTAGGACTCTTGTTCTTTATCCACTTATCTCGGATTCCGATATCTAGAGATGGCAATCTGAAACCGGCCCGACGGTGACCCGACCCCCCGACCCCGAATTCAGCGGTTATTCACCGAAAAATATCCCCTGTGGTCCGGGGATGGTATTCAAAAATTCATCCCCGAAGATATCCGGGCCGGGGACGGGGATATGTGTTTCAGAACCGGACCCGGCCCCACCCCGCAAGGTCCCCGAGTAAAATGACCCTTTGGTCCCTGGATATATATATATGCATCTGCTTGTTTTGTTAGGGTTTGACAGAAAACATTTCACTCTCACACAACACACGCCGCTTCTCTCTCTCTCTCTCTCTCTCTCGTCTGTCCATCTTCGTTTCATTTGTCACCGCGGCGCCGCCCTCCATCACCGGCGATCCTTCCTCCTTCACCGACGATCCTCCCTCCGTCACCACCGCGCCTCCCATATCTGTTTAGGTATCTCTCTCTCTCTCTCTCTCTAGGGATTTCGATCTAGGTTTACATATATGTTATTTATATATATATATTATATATATCTGAGTTTTTAGATCTGAGTATAGATCTGTAAAATACAATATAGTTCTGTTTTTTTTTTTTTTTTTTTTTTTTTTTTTTTTTTGTCTCTAAATTTATTTATTTTATATTAAAGATGATTATCAAACCTGATGTGAAAAATACATCATCTTAATAGACAATATAGTTCTGTTTGATAATTTGATAATCTGTTGATCATTATTTATTTATTTTATATTATCGGATAATCTGATAATCTGTTTTTTTTTTGTTTAGATCTGATAATCTGTCTATTAATCTGTCTATTAAAATATACCTCATAATCTGTCTATTTAAATAAAGCCTTTTCAAAGAAAACATAGACTTTAGAACTTGTTAATTTTAATAGTAATATTAATTATAGATTCCTTCCTGAGGTAAAGGAGGCTATGACTATGAGGAAGATTAAAGTAAGAAAACCTATAGAACCAGATGGAATTGTCATTGAAGTTTGGGAGTGTTTGGGTGATGATGGAACATTTTGGTGACCAATTGCTTAATAAGATCTTGAATTCTAAGAAAATGGTTGATGAATGGATAAAAATACATTAGTTCCAACTTAAAGAACAAAGTGATATTCAAAGTTGCATCAATTTTGTTGTATTAAATTTAGCAGAAGTAGAAATAGACAGGGATGAAAGTAGAGTATAACTTGATGAGCATGAAATACATGAGTGATCTTTTTTTATATTTTGGCAATTATTCATAAAGATAGAGAGGTTGAGGAGGACATGAAACAGTTTTTTAAGCTATACTAGTGAAAGCTTCTGAATCCCAACTTGTTTTTAAGGCAAAGATTAATATGTTTGTTTTTCATATTATCATTAATATATTGCACCTAATAATTACTCTTAGAAATAACAACAAAACTTGCAAACAAATGCAAAATGAGAG